AGAAAACACCAATGAAATCTAAAGTAGGTTCATTGGAAATCAGGTCTGACAAAAATAATACGGAACTCTTCATGTTCCTCTGCCCCACACGCCAGGCTCCGTCTCTCTGTGTTTACTGCCAGACGTGTGACTACAGAGACAAAATAAAATGTTGTACTCTATAAATCAAACAGAGAATATCATTCTTTCATATAAGTGATATGCTACACAGCAATATAAACTAAACATAATCTTCTATATTTCACATGGTATAACATATCACACAAATGATAGTGTGTATAATATAATAACATAATTATCACAATATGCGTACGATAATACTGGCATTACAATCCATATGCATCGGCATCACAACATGGCACTCACAACTCACATTGTTATCACAACTCACTTCACTATCACTACCCACATCTCCCTCCCCCCTTTACGTTCACTAGCGGGAGTCTTGAACGGACTTCAACTTGATACGTTCCGAACGTCGAGGTTCAACAGGCACAGATGGGGCGGAAGATCCTGGTGCGTCGTCTGACTGCTGTTCTTCCAGATCTGTTGAGTTTCCAATCATGAGTTGTGTAGGGCGCAAGAAGCGTCGATTGCGCCACAGTATACGGCCACTTGGGAGCCTGATGTGATAATCACGAGATTTGCCAATACCCATGACAGTGCCGAGCTTATCCCAACGCTTGGATGTGGGATCCTGGACTCGCACTTCTGCCCCAATCTCTAACTTGGAAAGTGAGTGGGCACGCTTGTCATAGCGGGTCTTCACGTCCTTGGCCCGTACTGCGGCACGACGGTCGCAGTCCTCAGCCTTGGTCTGCCACTCCTTCATGAAAGCACTAGAGTGGGCAGGCACACAGGAGCGAAGGGGCATGCCAAACAGAATCTGAGCAGGAGATCGACCAGTGAAGTTTGGGGTGTTACGTAACTCCAGTAATCCTCTATCGAAATCCTCGCTGTCAATATTTCCATTGGGTGCTGTCTTCATGATCAGATGCTTGACCTTCTTCACAGCAGCTTCTGCATGCCCATTGGACTGTGGGTAATGGGGGCTTGACATAGCATGACGTACTCCCCATCGCTGAAGGAAAGTTGCAAATTCCCGGCTGGAGAACTGGGGTCCGCCGTCAGTGCGCAGGCGAACTGGCACACCAAGATCGCGGAACAAATGCCGGAAGAATCTGATTGTCGAAGCACTTGTTGCACTAGTTCCACATGGGATGACGACTGGCCATCCGGATAGTCTGTCAGCATATACCAAGAAATGTTTTCCAGCAACACTGAAAAAGTCTGCCGACACAGACATAAATGGTCTTGTGGGTTTGTCATCCAATTTCAATGGCTCCTGTTGCTGACTAGGCTGTAGGCGCTGGCATGGCTCACAGGCACGGACAGTGTTTACAATGTCTGCATTAATGCCTGGCCAAAAGACTGTCTGCTGTGCACGACGCTTTGTTGCTTCCACGCCACAGTGACTATCATGCAGGCGAGCTAGGGTGCTACGACGTAAAGAAGCAGGGACAACCACTCGAGGTCCATACAGCACCAAGTCACCATCGTTGTACAATTCATTGCGAATCTTCCAGTACGGTCGCAAGGCACTTGGCAGGTTGTAGCGGTCTTTGGGGAACCCTGACTTTACATGGTGAAGCAGCTCCTCATAAGAAGCATCCTTAGAGGCAGCTGTCCGCAATTCTTCCAAGAAGAGATCCTCTTGCTCGTCTATGGCTTCTGATGCTTTAGTAGACTGAACAGCATGCAGAGCTACAATCTTGACAGAGGTGTCCATTTCAGCATCGAAGGCACCGTCTTCCATTGTTGGGCGACTCACAGGTGACCGGGAAAGGGCATCAGGGATGCACAACTCCTTACCTGCACGCCACATTGCGGTATAAATGTAGGGTGCAACCTTTTCTTTCATGCGCTGGAGACGAGGGTTTTCAATTGCATCCAGGGAATAATGGTTCAAAATTGGAACCAATGGACGGTGATCTGTCATCACACTGAAGTGCTGAAGTCCACGAAGATAGAACTTGCACTTACTGATGGCCCAGACGACAGCTTGCATTTCCAATTCGATGGTCGCATACCGTGTTTCTGTATCTGTCAAGAAACGGGAACCACATTGCACCATCTTGTATCTTCCAGCACCGTGGTCCTGCAACAACACATAGCCAAGGCCGTAGAGTCTGGAGGCGTCGGTCTGCAGAATGGTGGGAAGGGCGGGATCAAACGTCGCAAGTATGGGGGGCCTTGATAAAGCTTGTTTAGTATCAATAAAAGCCTTGGTGTGGTCTGCGGTCCAAGTAAAAGCTCTCTTCGGACTCATCAATGGGCGGAGTGGGGCTGCAGCAGTCGAAATCTTAGGCGTAAACTCTGCCAGTTGATTTACCAAGCCCATAAATGATCGAAGATCTGTCAGGTTTGCAGGGGTAGGAAACTCTGCAATGGCTTTTACCTTCTCTGGGTCTGCTTCAATACCATTATTTGATAGCTTGTACCCACAGAAACTGGTCTCAGATGCAGCCACAATGAACTTCTCTGCATTAAGGGTTATACCGTGGTGGCGACACCTTGACAGGACTTCGTTTACACGTTGAAGGTGTGAGAGGTAGTCCTCATCATGTAGGAGAATGTCGTCCACAACCTTGATGCAGTTTGTTACTCCCTGCAGTGCTTTGTCACCTCGGAGACAAAAGGCGTCTCCTGTTGCTGCAAAACCCATGGGGCCACGACAATACCTGAAACGTCCATAAGGAGTGATAAATGTCGTCAGGTGTTGATCGTCCTCATGCAGGGGTAGTTGCCAATAACCACAAAGAGCATCCACAGTTGTGAAGAACTTTGACTGTGGACTGATACTTCTAATGGCTGTAAATGGCGTCGGAGAAGGGATGGGCAGGGCGAGAGACTTGTCTGTTGAGCTTTGATAGGTCAGTAGTAATACGTACACCACCATTTGCTTTTGGAACAACGACCATTGGATGACACCATTCTGATGGTTCATCCTCCACTGGCTTTAAGATGCCTTGGGTCACTAATGACTCAAGCTCCTTTCTCGTTGGTTCCTGAAAAGCTAAAGGAATCATTCTTGGGGTGTGGATTGCGAAGGGCGTGGCATTCTCCCGTAGATGAATTCTCATGGGTGGGCCTACCATCATCTTGAGTGGCCCAGAATGCAGGTCGTCCTTCTTCACCAAAACATCTGCATACTGATGCAGGAAATACTTCCTTGCTTCTTCAGGTGACGTCAGCTGGTTCAGTGGTAAGGGCAGCAACTTAGGAGGGTTCGACATTGGTGCACTGCCCAGCCCATGGACTCGATTGGCAATGCGCATATCTGACATCTGCCTTGGGAAATAGTCCGGAACAATCCCCAAATCCTTGCACTCGGTCCAAGAGAGCAGCGGGGTTGTAAGCGAAGGCTGAACATCAATCCAACATGTAGTCGAACGGTTGCCATAGGTGATAATTCCACGAAAAGATCCAGCCGCTGGTGGCATCTGTGACCCATCCGCATTGTAGTATATGGTCTCTGCCGGTGGTGCCAAATCTTTCTTTGAGAGGCCGAGACTACTAAGATGCTGGAGTCCAATGACAGTTGTGTCAGCACCTGTGTCAGGGATGATGGCAAGACTCCCTGATAAATCATTATGCCGAATTGACACGCGGACTTTAGGGGAAGGCTGAGGCTTCGGTCGTGCAGTAGAGGTGACACTCCTGGCATATGACACTGAAGGGGATACTGAACTTACTACCTTTAAGTTCTGGTTGGTGTCCTCTTCTTTTGTCTTCTTAGCCTTCCTTGTCTTTGGGCAGCATTTGTCATAGTGTCCCTGCCTGTTGCACACCCTGCATCTGGCATTCCTGGCAGGACACTTGGAAGCAGTAGCCCAATGGCCTTTCTTGCCACAAGCACGACATGTGGAAGTGGTGGCCCTGCACAAACCTTTTTCATGTTGACGACCACAGCAGTTGCAGGCCTTATTAGGCAGAGGTGAGCCAGGCCTCATCTTGGACTTCTGCTTCAGGGCGGCCTTTTTCTCTCTTTTATATTGAGAAACAGCACGTGAAGAAACTGTGTCCTTCAAAGCAGATGATGCAGTCTTTGACGATTCATGAGACCTGCATTTCTCCAAAACATCCTGCAACGTCGCTGAGCGGTCCATCTCAATGAGCTTCTGGGTAAGTTCCTCATCTCGTATACCCATTAATATGCCGTGTTTCTTCCACTGCTCACAACATGCTTGGTCCTGTGCCTTGCAAAGGTCTATCTCCTGTGACAAGATTTTCAGGCGTATCCAAAAGTCATCGAAGCTTTCGCCGTCTGCTTGCTTGCACTCAGAGAAGGCCTTCCGTCGTAGCGCCTCATTACTTGCATTTTTTATGTGCGTTTCGAGCTTTACCAAGACATCGTCCACTGAGCATGCTGGGTCTGCGGGCACGTCCAACTTGTGCTCCAGCACCCGTCGCATCTCAGATGTAAGGCACATGCGTAGCTGTATATGCTGCTTTGATAATGGCAGGCTGACAAGATCCACCATGACAGCATAATCGGACCATTCGCGCTTCCATTCGCGAAATTGTTGGGGACTCGCGTCTGCTGTTAGTGCTTTCGGAGGCTGTATTGTTGCCCTCGGGGTCGATGGAGTGGGAGAAGCAGTGGGCGCGGCAGAACTGCTCACTGGCGAACTCGCAGGTGAAGCTGCGGGCTGCTGGGGGGTGAGGCGAAGGATCAGCTCCTGAAAACGAGCAGACTCCTCGTTCCTGCGTGCATCCTCTTCCTTCCGGCGGGCTTCTTCCTCCTTCCGGCGGGCGTCGTCCTCCTTCCGGCGGGCGTCTTCCCTCTTGTCATCCCTCTGAATTATCCACTGTAGCAATGTGGCAACATCAGTGGGAGGTGGGGTGCTGGCAGTGGCCCCTGCAGACTCGTCAAGGCTGGAGTCTGGCTTTTCAGGGTCACTCTTACTCGTATCTTCTTTCTTCTTCCCTCTACCCAT